ATTTGACTTTTGATTTGCTCATTCAAGCTTTTTTTGAGCAAGGTGATGTGGGTGTGTATCATTCTGATCTTTGTTTCTTTGTCTCAGGATCTTACTCAAACACCCAGGATTCAATTCCCATGATCACTTGACTCAAAAAATCAGGTTCTCTTACCAAACGGGCCAACAGGTCTTGGCAAATGAGTTGATGGTGTTCCTTCTGATCAGGTGACAAGTTCTTTGGAACGAGTTTTTCACACACTTTTCTTGTGTTCCAATCCTCAGTCACGATTTCATGAACAATTTCTGTTTCCTCTGCAATCATTCTGATAGTGAGCCATTGGTCACAGTTGATAACAGACCTCACTGCATCCACATTCTGTTCTGTTTTTGACGAAGAGGGGCGTCATGATCATTGTTCATCTTCAGTACCTTCTTGTCCTTCTTTGAAGGCCTTGTGCCATCGGTACACTTGTGCAGACGATAGCACTGCTTCTCCATAAGCTTTCCTCACCATTTCCAAAGTTTCTGATGAACTTTTACCCAATTTCACACTAAATTTTATCACGTACCACTGTTCCAAACTCACTTGCAAATTTCTTAATACGAGGCACTCTAACAGGGCTGGAATGCAACTGATCAGTGTTCTAAAATATACCCCACCCCAAGTGACCGTGGCCAGTTTCTCCCCTTCACAGGGCCTTCATGAGTGTAGGAACTACATTCTGGTTATACTTTGAGTTTTGTTTCTTTTGGTATTTACAAAAATGGACAAACATCAGAAAGAAACAATTTTTTTAAGCATTGGACTGCTGGATCATGCCTTTGTAGAGCATTTGGTTTACATTTCCAACATGGAGCTAACGAATAGCAACACTAGAGGATAAGACACGGGGATAAGGTTGCATGTTCTAGTCTAGAGGTGGTCTGCCTTTTTAAAGCTGGTATTCATAGGGTTGCTTTGGCAGTGTTCTGGGGATGCGAAAGTTTTTGATTTGTTCTGGGATTAAATGTTACTGTTCTCAATACACTGTATTATATATTTGGCATTCTAGGTAACTCCCAAAACAGGTGCTAGAGCTCCACATGGGAATCAAGCCCACAGACAGCACACCACACACCCTCCTTGCATCTAGACTGTTTAATCACATAGGGGATTAAGCAATTCCAATAATGTAAGTAAAAAAAAACAGTAGTTCTACTGCTCTGTTATGATTAAGTATTTTGTAAAAGCAGATTTTTTTTCTCTTTGGGACTGGGATTTTATGGCTTGCAGTTTAACGATCAATTTTTCAGATCATTAAAATGGTAATAATACAAATTATAAGGTCTTTGCAATATATGTTTCCTGGAAGGTTAGAACAAATTATGGAGACTGTGAAAAAGAAAGTACAATTAATTGATTTTATTGGAAAGTATGTCAAAACACATTTTCCTAAAACAGACAAACTCTTGTTGGTTTTAGCTGGTGCACAAAAGCAAACATAAGTGGCATTCACTCAGAATTGCATAAATGTTCTGAGCATAATACACAACCCCCTTGGTGTTCAGCAGACTTAATGATACTCAACAGGTCCTGTCAAAGTCAGTCAACCAATGTCACTTTAGCTGTAGCTCTGTGAATACGTCATGTCTCCAAAGACTGGGCTAACATTGTCCTTCTAAAATCAGCTGGCCAGGCTGTGAAGAGCAGTTGTGTAGCACTGGCAACATAGCTGTACTGCCAGATTGTGGTTTTCCTCTTCCTTTCTCTCATTCAAGCCTTGCATTGCATTTGCAACATCTGTTAAAATGCTTAAAGCTACTTAAATAATGCCTCTGGCAATGCCAAACCAAGTATTTTCTACTTATTTATAAATGTATCAAATTCCATCCTGAAACAGTCAGAATGTGAGGACACTGGCATATAAAAGCTATGCAGTTAAAAATGTAGCATAAATGCTGGCATTAAAAGGGGGCAACTCAACAAAGCAGGCTGTTAACATACATAGTCTTCAATGCCTCTTTAGAATGTTTCTTTGACCAAGTGATCAGTGTCTTTATTGGGATCTTGGACTGAAATAGCCACCAGGGACTTTGTTTACCTTTCTTTTTTCATATTCCATTAAAGGTTTTTGGATATCCACCAAAAATTGGCTATAAGGTGTGATTGTCGGATTGCAGTAATTATGTGAAACTCTAAGCTTCATTGAAGGCATGAACGTAGTACTCTGTAAAGCTCTGTAGAATGGATAGTGCTTAGATGGTGCTTTATTGAGGATTCCTATGTTGATAGAAAATAAAGTGGTATAAACTAGAATCCATGTTTGAAAACAAGGCATTGTACAGTGATTACTTCAATATTTTTGACCCCCAATAATGCCTGTTACTTTGGGTTATATAAAAAAAATTATTTCATATTTATAGCACCCCCTTACACCCTAGAGGTTATTAGGGAACCCCAGATGTCAAATGCGATGCCATTCCCCCTTGTGGTTGGATTCTGACTTGTAGCAAACATGAAGAGATTGGTGGCAGTCATTTTTAAACAGTTAATAGATTTTATTCAGGTGAATAGACTCTACGGAGAGTGGGTTAGGGCATGGAAAAACCTACTTACAGTGAAAAAAAATGACCTTTAAGCCTGGCCAGTACTCTGTATTCTCCTGACTGTAAAGCAGTAGTGGCATTCAACTCACTGGATGCACCACGACACTCACTGAGAGGTCCAAACTAGTACCAAGCATCTCCAGACACTCCTGCTACAGTAGAAGGTCTTCTCTGGTGCTCCTATCCTGGGCAACACCTCTGGCCAATCAGTGCAAACTTGTGATTTCATTCAGATAACAAAATTAAGGGAGAATTGGGTGAATTGGGCAAACGATGTTTGGAAAAGTTAGAAGGAAAAGGAAACAATCTCACCTTGTTTCTTGGTTTTAATATACCTTCTCCAGTAATATATTTAGCATTGCTTTTTTTTTTTTTACCAAAGCAATCACTTTAGTGGTAAGGTTAGAGTTTAATGGGCCATAGGGCAAGACAATGGTCTATGTTGTGGGACCTTTTCACTGAATACTAAACACAGATATTTAACTCTATCAGTTTAGGTAGGTTGTGTTTAGTATGTCTACTAAACAAGATATATATTAACATTTAAATGAAATGCCTTAATCAAAAATGTTTTACTGAAATTATGGTGGTGTTTGCTAGACTGCCCCCCACTGTTTGTAAAAGAAAGCTTAACATCAGATCAATAAAGTCTGCATAGCTTTAATTCCTTGTATATATGTCTGCCCAACAACATTTTCTCTAAGTGGTGTTGCAGTCACAGAACTGCACCTATCTCCTATCTGTCTATAATGTTGAGCTTCTATGAAGAAACCAATGAAGTCTAGGATGCAGAAGCAAAATTGAACATACTGTGTAAACATAAATAATGTAAAATAGTATTCTAATTTACTGATATAGCCCATGATACATTCCCTTTAATACAATAGTGTATCTGTGTTAATTTATGCCGAATGCCACTCACATTTGACATATAATACCCACAAATATTTCATTACAAAGTACTGAAGAAAGCTGGCTAGTACAAGTGGATTATTATATCTTCTGAAAATAATTTAGGACATGTGATTTGGTAGGACACAGTCTGATAGCTAACTTCCCATGGTCTAGGGTCATAGCTATGGCTGCCTTGCCCCCCCCCCCCCCCCCCCCAGGTGATTATAGTGATAAGGCCACTTTAGGTCCCTGCTGCTTACATTCTTATGGTGTCTTTGGTTGCTATAACTACTTACACAGAAAGAAGATGGCAGATTTGCCTTACACAGTTGTTAGCGTATGGGATCTATAGAAACAACATAACATACATAAGCCCCATTGAGAACTTTCCCCACTGAAAAAAAGATCTTGTGGAGGGAATTTAACAATTATGTGTTAAAATATTCAGACAGCCTAGCTGCGGAAGAAGACCCCACAAAGATGAAACCATAGTGCAGTGGGAGGGAATTTGACAATGTTGTGTCAAAATTTCCAGTTTGCACAAATGACAGAATAGACATCTCTATTTATCCATAGAAATCCCAAGAAAGGCTATAGAGGTTCATTATGATCTATCCATAGAGGAAACTGGATAAACCAAGAGGGGAAAACCACACCACACTGCAGAGGAAATGTGACCCTGTGCACTTTCTACTAGCTTATCCTTGGCTCAACTTGCAGTATTTGGGCACTGTGGGAATCCTTAAAAGACTTTTCATATGACGGTGTCATTTGTTGTCCACTCTTGGTCTATTTTAATACTGTGTAGCCTGTACCGTTTTATTTTCCAACATGTTTATCAGTGACATAGAAATGAATTGGGCTAGATTTGCTAAGAAGAAGACTGCTATTCCTTTTGTTTTTTGCCTTCTACTTGTATCAAATAGTTCCCTCCATGTGCTGACATTTATTAGACAGAATGGTTTATGTTACTTGGAAGATTATCTGGACATAGTGAGGAAAGATTCAACACAGTCTCATCCATCCTATTTGTTCTCTTTGTGCAAGTTTTGTTTTTAGCACTGGACATGCATTTTCATATTTGCTTAGTCAATATATATATATATATATATATACACACACACACACATATATATATATCTGTTAGGGATGCACTGATAACAATTTTTTATTAGTGAGTACGAGTACCGATACTTTCGGTTAAGTACTCGCCGATACCTTAACCGATACTTTGCAAATTGTGAAAATCCCAGTAGATCAGTAGTTTTTGAAATACTCAGACCAGCCCATCTTGCACCAACAACCATGCCACATTCATAGTAACTTAAATCCCATTTCTTCCCCATCCTGATGCTTGGTTTAAACTTCAGCAAGTCATCTTCACCGCATCTAGATGCCAAAATGCATTGAGTTGCTGCCATGTGATTGGCTGATTAGCAATTTGTGTTACCAAGCAATTTAACAGGTGTACCTAATAAAGTGGCTGGTCAGTGTGTGTGTGCGTGTGTGGGTGTGCGTGTGTGGTGTGTGCGTGTGTGTGTGTGGGGCGTTGTGTGTATATATATATATATGAATATACACATTATATTCCCAAAAGTATTAGGACACCCCTCCAAATCATTGGATTCAGGTGTTCCAATCAACTCCATGGCCACAGGTATAAACAAATCAAGCACCTAGGCATGCAGACTGCTTCTACAAATATTTGTGAAAGAATGGATCGCTCTCAGGAGCTCAGTGAATTCAAGCGTGGCACCGTGATAAGTTGCCACCTGTGCAATAAGTCCATCCGTGACATTCCTTGCTACTAAATATTTCACGGTCAATTGTTAGTGGTATTATAACAAAGTGAAAGCAACTGGGAACAACAGCAGCTCAGCCGCGAAGTGGTAGGCCACGTAAAATGACAGAGCATGGTCAGTGCATGCTGAAGTGCACAGTGCGCACAAGTTGCCAACTGTCTGCAAAGTCAATAGCTAAAGACTTCCAAACTTCATGTGGCCTTCAGATTAGCACAACAACAGAGTGTAGAGAGCTTCATGAAATGGGTTTAATTCGCTGAGAAGCTGCATCCAAGCCTTACATCACCAAGTGCAATGCAAAGCGTTGGATGCAGTGATGTAAAGCCTGACTGCATTGTGCCAAGTGTAAAGTTTAGTGGAGGAGGGGTTATGGTGTGGGGTCTTTTTTCAGGGTTTGGGCTTGGCCCCTTAGTTCCAGTGAAGGGAACTCTTAAGGTGTCAGAATACCAACACATTTTGGACAATTTCATGCTCCCATCTTTGTGGGAACAGTTTGGGGATGGCCCTTTTCTGTTCCAACATGACTGCACACCAGTGCACAAAGCAAGGTCCATATAGACATGGATGAGTGAGTTTGGGGTGAAGGAACTTGACAGGCCTAAGCAGAGTTCTGACCTCAACCCAATAGAACACCTTTGGGATGAATTAGAGCACAGACTGCAAGCCAGACCTTCTAGTCCGAAATCAGTGCCTGACCTCACAAATGCGTTTCTGGAAGAATAGGCAAACATGCCCATAGACACACTCCTAAACCTTGTGGACAGCCTTCCAATAAGTGTTGAAGCTGTTATAGCTGCAAAGGGTGGGCCAACTCAGTATTGAACCCTACGGACTAAGACTGGGATGCCATATAAGTTCATATGGGTGTAAACGCAGGCGTCCCAATACGTTTGGCAATATAGTGTATATACAGGAACATATTAATGGAAGTTAACCCTTCTATTCGTTTCAGCTATTTCAGCTAAGGAGGCTGCCATATTTGCCACATTTGATCAGTTATAAAGCCAGCCATATGATGGTTTGACAGTTTGGTTGAAAGCACAAGCAAACGTGACAATTAGCTATCTCAGCATGGCAGGAATTTAACTGTTTTTGAAACATTTAAATTGATTGTTTTAGTTTTGTTTAAATAACTGTAAAGAGGATCTGTAATCTACCATTAGGCTACTTTCACACTGATCTGCGACAAAAATGCATATGTTGACCCACAACGGATGAGTGTGAAGAGTTTCAAGGTCACAAGTTCTGCTTCTGCTTTTTTTAACACAAAAAGAGAAATGGATCACTGTGAAAGCAGCCTTACTGTTACCTGGTGCACACAGCATCTAGAAATGCTGTTAAAATGCATGAGCTGGTTTACACTAAACCCACAGAAGATGCTTCTATGGGTGACAGGCATTTACAGTAATTTGCTTTGATACCCATGAAAGTTGCAAGCAACTATGGGCATGTGCAGTTCATGAGCTTAAATACTGCAGTTTTTGATTGCCCTGTTTAGGATGCTCAAACATCAATGAAGGAAGCCTCTAATGCTTTCTGCTACCCCCCCCCCCCCCCCAGCTCGTGGAAATATTAGTTGCCTGACTGCCATAATTGGTCACCTAAACATTTCAGTGTTCTTGGAGATAATGACCCGGGGCAATTATTCAGTTAGAATAACTGATTTAATCCACATTTGTCAGATCTGCATTTATGTTCTAGCCCAGTGACTCAAACAAATGAAGATACTGGGTTAACATGGCAGCCAGGCAATTGATATTTTCAGAAGGTGGTCAACAATTTCAACATCTGTATTTCTCTCAGTACTGGTTTACTTTAAATGGAACACTCAGCAACTAAAGCTAAAATAAGGATAAGGCCCCCTTCACATGGGGCGGACTGCAGCTGTGATCCGCTGGCTCAGAAGGGGATCTGTCTACTGATCCTTGCTGAGCAGGCAGATGACAGGTCCGTGTTTGCTCTGCTTATGCAGAGCAGACATGGACACAGACAGCTCTCCTCTATGGGCAGTTGGATAACTGCCTTTCAATCGGCTGGACAAAAGGGGAACGGATCCCCATCTGTCTCTTTTTGTCGGATTGTATTGAATGACACTTGTCTGTTTACACCCACTACTCCATAGAAGAGAATACATTTTCTGATCAGGTGCTTCAGAAAAACGTCTGTGTGAGGATCATAAAACTCTATAGTTACCTTAAGGATTATGGACCTGGCCTTGGCGTAATGCAAAATAAACATGGACGTGTTACTAAACCCACAACGGTAAAATCAGTCTGTATATGCAGTAAAGCATGCTTGTTATACTCACTGTGAAACCTAAGGGGTTAATCCTTAGCATTGTGTAAAAATGCTGTTTGATCCTGACTTCTCTGATCCTCCCCTTCTTCTACTGTTCCCATCCATCTGCTCATAATACAGAGTTCTAGGAGTCACTCTAGTCACTCTCCTACACATGCTCATTTTAGTGTGTATTGCTAGAGGGTCTTTTTTTCTTTGGGATGGTGCATGTGATCAGCACAGGACCAATCAGCATTGTCCAGACAGAGGGCCAGGGGTTATGCAGCCTCAAAGGACAGTTAGAGGAGAATGAAAACGCCTTGCACCAGAATACAAGATAAGCTTTATGCCTAATCACCCCACATCCTTTCAAGCAAAAAATGAAAAACATTTAGAGTCGGTTCACACTGAAATGCATGTGTAAGAATTTGTGTGTTCATTTGAATGGGCTGCCAAAAGCACAGGAATGCTCAAAAAGTTGTGCGCTACTTTTTAAAAATCATGCTGCACCAAACTGCATGGTAACACAGTAGTGGCTGCAAACGCACTGCATTTGCAAGATGTGTTTGGGGTGCAATTAAAAAATAATGACACCCATGCACAGCTCAAAAGGGCACTGCATTCACGTGTGGTGCGAGAAATCTGCACAGAACTTGCCTTTCTTGCACCATATTCCAGTGTGAACCAACCCCCAAAGAACTTTTCATTAGGACAAAGAGTTTTTCCAGGATCCTGCAATATAACAGACAATATCGTGGCCCATACAGGTGCCTCGGAAGTCTATGTTTAGGGGAAGTGTTTTTTCATTTTTTTACCAATTTTATTTTTTCTTTACTTTTTTGGGGGCAAAGCATCAAGTAGACCTTGCATGTTTATGCAAGGTGCAATTTATTGTGGCTCACTACACATTTGCATGGATGATAGACCATCTCCCTCTGACCAAGCAATTTACCTTTCTGCAGACAGGATTGGGGGGGCAGGAGAATGTCTGGCCTAGGGAAGTACTCAGTTTTCACAGCAATGAGTGAGCTCACCCTCTAACAAGGGACATTCAGGGTATGCCACATGTATGCATCAGTCTTTTTGATGCCAGGGGCATCTGACCGCTGGGGCATAGAAGAAAATAGGCTACAAGGATTGGTCTTGCAGATTGTAGGAGCCTGTAAGAGCGGAGGATCAGGTAAGTAAAACTGCTCTTCCCAGTCCCTAGATGTAAATAAGCATTTTACCCTAGCAGTGTGTGTGTGTGTGTGTGTGTGGGGGGGTATTTTCCCAAGAGTTTAGCTTTAACTAGAGGATTTAGTGTTTAAGCGGAACTAAATGTCCAGAAGTATTCACCTCCACCTTCCAGTAATGTCGCAATTACATCCCTCACCGGTCACTGTGATCTACCAGGTTTTCTGCCTCTTGATTGACCAGTGGGAGAATGATGTCCTCCTGTGCATGCGTATGGGGGGGTCCGTCATTCTAGCACAGCTGGGGCGTACTGAGAATGAATGCTGAGCTGCACATGCCCTGTTCAGTGTACATTTAATAAAAGACAGGAGTTTACTACAAAGATGGAGAATGTCTCTTCTGTAGGACAGAGCTGCCTGCTCGCAGTTGTCTACTAGTTAAGTTAGTTCCACTTTAATTGACCACTTACTCTTTGGTGTTTATGAATTGATATAACAGCTTTGTAGTAATTTATCAGTGGAGTAAATAGTTAAAAAAAAAAGCCCACAGAAACTAGTAGAAAATTTACCAGGTTCTACATATGTTTATGTTTATGCAGCCTTTAAATTTAAATGTATCCCACATCTAGGATTGTAAATTAGAGAAGAGAATAGAGCTAATGCTGGCGCAGGAAAGAGCAGTGTGCATGTTTGAAGGGTAGAGGGAGTCTTGCTCTGCAACTGCTCACTTTCTTTGGTGTATGAAGCGACTGCATCTATATGGAAAGGAAAGGCACACATACACTAAATGGCCACATTCATAAGTTCTTTAGGATGTTTTAGACCTAATTTCAGCTATCACCCTTTGAAGCTAGGACGCCAATATGCAACTTTACTGTCTGAACATATTAATATACCGTTGCAAGTTAGTCTTATTAAATGCATTTATTATAAAAGCATACTTTAAAGGGTTAAGCAATTTGTAAAAAAAGCCCCACAAAAAACCCTGCTCTCTACCTATTGTCATCTTCAGCAAATTTATAAATGAAATGACCAACCCCAGTTGCTGACCAATGTACAATGTAAAAACCATAGCCTGTCCAGCTGTGTGTATTGCTTAAATGCTGCATCTTCTGTAAAGTTCTGCATTTGTCAGGATCACAGATATGGGTTACCAGCTGTGTTGTTATGTCGTTGCATTCTTCGTGGATGGCCATTGCTCTGTGTGACTAGGCATTGTTCTGTATGACTGGGAATGATGCATATGCGACTTTTAGGTAAATTGTCAAGACTTCATGGGCCCAGCATTGAAAGTCTAAAAGTCTATTGACTCTAGTCTAATGTAGACCTCAGACCTGTCATTAATCTAAAGTTACTAAACAAAACTAAAAGCTCATGAGTTGCCACCATCTGTTCCTGAATTGTACTAGGGTCTTATAAAAATGTAGCTGCAAGTTTCCCCTGTGCACCCCAGGTTCTGGGCACCTGTAATATACAAATCTGAACTTTCAGGAAATTCCCACTTCCCACTCCATGACACAATGCAGTTCAATATGATTCCACCTGATGTGCAATATATGGTGCCCATTGTTCAGGGTTCCCAACATATTCTACAACCATATTCATTCAGTCATTTATGCTGTTTGGGACTTAGTGGTGTCTATTTTAGTTCAGCAGCATTAAATTAATGATGGACTTTTTAAGCTATCACTGGAATAATGGTAAAGCTAGAAGGTTGTGCGTGTGCTGTTGTGCTGTTGTGCTGTTGTGCTGTTTCATATCAAAGCATTCTAATTACAGCAGCAATACCTTTACCTGCGTAGTACCCAAAACCTGTGGTCATGGTGGTACCCCCAGAGACAGGAAGTGGTGACATTTTTCACCTCAGGGTGTAGATCCCTTATAATGGGAAATATGG